TAATAATAATAATAATAATAATAATAATAATAATAATAAAGGAAATGAAAGGAAGTTGACATTGTATAAAAATCTTTATGGAGGTCCTACATATGGATGTGGCATGCCCGGCCTAGTGGTAAGATAAAAAAAACATATGTGCTGCTTACCCGAGTTCGAATCCTGCCGATTTTTTTTGATAATTTTTTTTGATCCCGTCGCCTTTCCGTAGGATTTCCCCAAATTAGTCGCTTCTTTCCCTCAAATATTTGGCTAGGTTTTGGTCTCCCGCTTAATTATGTCCCGCCTCCCATCTCGCACACCTTTTCGCTTTCTCCCCTTCCACTCCATTCTAGGTTTTAAAGTTGGAGCGTATCTCACGTCGACCTTCGAATGCGTCTGCTCATCTTCTTCATATTTCACGTTGACGATTGGCATTCTCCTTGCGGCCACCGGTGCCGCCAACGCTTGATCACAACCGTCCGCCACTGCCGCTGTTCGTCAGCCTTGCCCCTCCTCCAGCGCCCCTTCCTCCAACTCTTGTAAGCTGTGTCTACTTTGACTGAAACTAAACTATCTCATCTCTCTTGGTCCGATTTCTATTCCTTAATCCTTATTCTCAATATCTCATCCTAAATCTCTCTAGTATTCTCATCTGTTGTAAATCTACTACAATCGATCAAGTTCGATTAGATTCGTCGGTACCACTATGCTTGTGCTTGATTGATTCAATTTTTTTCGGCCTAAAGCAAGAGGAAAATCGAAAACGGGAGAAAGGAGTAAGGTTTGTGGTGGTTGGATTTTTTCTGGTTTCTCTTCAACATGACAACTGATCTCGGTCATCAAGTGAGTTCGTTTCGTTTTTTTTTGGTGTGCTTCTAATTTCTTTCTAAACTTGCTGAAATCAATTATCACCTCTTCAATCTTCATTGTATCTGAATCTTATTAAGTGATTCTTTTTCAGGAGACTGATTTAGTTTGCATCTTTGGAGTTGGATAACGAAAACAGACTGTTTTCTTATTTCTCTTCAAGTGATTTGGGTGATTTCTCTACTTCTCTACTTCTATTCTTCTATTTTCAATTTTTTTTCCTGATTTCGATTTATTCTATTCATTGTATATGATTAAGTGATTCAATTTGCAGTAAACAAAGAGTTTCTTCTTTGTTTGAGCTTGGATAAACTCGAATTTTGCTGCAATCAATCTTTCTCCTTTATGTGTGGTTTGCTTCAGGTAAATTTTTGTTCATTGTGGTTTGCTTGTTTCTGATTTCTGATTCTTTGATTCATTTTCTAATTAGATAGTAGTTTTCTTTGATTCTTTTTTATTAAAGTAGTGTGTGTGTGTGTGTGTGTATATATATATATATATATATTTGTTGGTTCATGAATGTGTAATTAGGGTTTGGTTCATGAATGTTTAATAGCGTGACTGCTCTTCAGATTTTGATTGTGTTTAACTGTTGGGTTATCTTCTAAATGCACGATATACATGCTTATTATAGCATTCTACTTTCATTTTGTCTTGCTAATAGTGTTGTACTTTCAAAAATGTTCCTAATTATGGTTATATCAAACAAATAAATGAAAATACATTGCTATATTTGTACTTTTTTGTGACCATGGATTATGGTGTGACTACAATAGTTTTTCCTTTTTATTTTTGCTCTCAATCCCATATATCGCTTTTCTTTTATGGCATATTTGTTATGATGGAATTAAATCACAAAGAAATGGAACTGATAAGTGATAACTCATTAAGTGCAACAGGGAAATAGTTGTCTCTTATTCACTAACCTTATCTTCAACCTCATAAATTTTATACAATTCACATTACTAGATTTTTTACATCTAGTTATTCTGATTAGGAATCATGAAATACTTCTGGAAGCTCAATCAGCCTACTAATATTTGAATCACCATGTTCGGCTTTTGAAATTCAAATAAGTCAAAATTTTGTTTTATACATTTGTGTATCTACCATTACATGCCACCTACGAAGGCAACATTAAAGTGTGTTCTAATTTTGCAGGACCATCGTCTCTCAACTAGTGAAGCAAGAACAAATAGAAATTATTGTTGCCAAGGTGAATTAACTTAGGAATTTATATAACATTCTTATGCAATTCCTTTTAAGGTGTATATGTTTTGGTTTTCTAAATGGCATATTTTGAATTTTAAGATTTGAAATATTTATAAATCAACTGTTTTATAATTTACTTCATATCCTTTACTTGTAATTGTTTAGGCAAAAGAAATTTATCCGTATGACTGATAACATGGTGCAGCTTGGATACGAGATGTGTAGCCTATAATTTCATTTACTGTATTTGATTTTCCACTTTTTTCTTTGAGGGAAACATTTTGAAGATATGTTATTTGGGACAAATGTGTTATTGAATGTGGGACAAATGTTAATTGAATGTGGTATTTGAAAAAAAAATTGGAACTTTTTAAAATAAATTTTTTTAAAAAAATAAAACGAGGTTAGCTACGGAATAGCTACGGATTTCCGTAGCTATTAAATTCCGTAGCTATTCTATAGCTATTTAGTTCTGTAGCTATTCCGTAGCTATTTGAATCCGTAGCTATTCCGTAGCTATCCAGGTCCGTAGCTATTCCGTAGTTATTAAGCTTCGTAGCGATTCCGTAGGAATTCCGTAGCTATTTTATTCTGTAGCTATTTCGTTGCTATGGTAGCTACGGAATTTTCCGTAGCTATTTCGTAGCGGTTCCGTAGCTATAATTTAGCCACGGGCTATTATGCTACAGCCATTTTTCCGTAGCAATTCCGTAGCTATCCGCTTATAGCTACGGAATAGCTACGGATTGTGTTGTAGCTATTGATCAAGTTTTCTAGTAGTATATATATATATATATATATATATATATATATATATATATATATATATATATATATATATATATATATATATATATATATATATATATATATATATGAAATGAAGAAAACAATTATTGTGTACAAGTGATAATGAATACAGAACAATCAATTTTTAATATCTGAATAAATGTATAACCAAATAAAAAGGTTAATATTGATATTTAATAATTTATCATGTTTATGGAATTCGTACATCTAGGGACGGTATTTAAAATAAACTTAATCCTCCTAATTCTTTTATATCAAACTTCAAAATTATTATTTATGCAAATGATAATATATCAACTATTGACCATCCTTTTCAAAATCGTATAATTAAGGGAATAATTTCAAAGATGAACATCAATGAAGATTTTTCTACCAACTAGTCTCAAAAGATAATTTTGCGTTCATTGTAGTATCATCCTAATGATGATTATGAGTTGTTACATTTAACAAATTGTGACTATGATGTCAAAGTAGATTCTAAGACGTTGTTTGGTTCGTTGAAATTGGAAGGAATCCAAAGAAATTGGAATTTAACTCCATCACTTTCTTATGTTTAGTTCATGTTTTGAAAATGAATTGGATTTTAAAATGTGTCAAACTTTCCTTACATTTAGGGAAAATAAATTTCATGTAAAAGATCATGAAATTTAAATGCGAAATTATTGAAGATTACCATATTACCCTTTTCATTTTAAACATTAAATATAAAAAACCTCCATCACTACTCGTAACCACCTCCACCACAACTTTTGCCACCACTATCCACCATCTCCACCACCACCCACCATCTCCACTACCACCCACCACCACCACCTCCGCTGCCCACCCACCACTACCACTACCACTAACTGTCACAACTGATGTTGTCGCCACTACCACCTAACACTACCACCACCACCACCATCACCATTACCGATACCACTATCACCACCACCACCACCCATAACATATGTTACCCCTTACACAACCACGCTACCACTATCTTTGTTACTACTAACTCTATCATCACCACCACCACCTCTATTGCCACCACCGTCGCTGCCACCCGCACCCACCACCACCAACATCCACCACCACCATCGCCACCACTAATACCCACTACCACAACCACCACTGTCTCTACCATCAACACTAGTGATGCCACTACTACTACTACCTCCACTTTCGTCACCACCACACACTGCAACCTAAGTATCATGAAGATTATGTTCTAGATGAACATCAAAATGTTAAGCCATCTAAATGTTTAGATCTTGAACAATATATATATATATATATATATATATATATATATATATATATATATATATATATATAAAGTTCATTTAAGATGAACTTAATTTTGTAAGACCGTAAGACCAATTTTTTTAATAACATATCTTAATATTTTAGTGTTCGTAAAAATATAATATATATAATTTAACGTGTTTTAAAAATATTATTATAAAGTATTAGATATTTTATAAAAAAAATGATATCATGGACTTACAACAATAAATCCGTTTCAAATCTCTCTCTCTCTTTCTCTCTCTCTCTGTGGGGTGTGTGTGTATATATATATATATATATATATATATATATATATATATATATATATATATATATATATATATCATTTCCCTACCTAATAAAAGAGTAACACATTTGTCACTTGTCATTCTAAGGTTTTTCCTCATTAATTCACTCCTCCATTTTACACATATCAAAACGTCAACAAAAATTTTATTTATAATATCTATTGCCTAATTTATTAAATTATTAATTTTTTTTATCAGTGCTCAATAATTACCTTATAATTTAATTAAAATTATTTTTACATTTCTAATCCGTGGTACCTATGGGTTATATATATATATATATATATATATATATATATATATATATATATATATATATATATATATATATATATATATATATATATATATATATTTATGGAAGTTGAATATGTTAAGGTGGCATGCATGCATGCATCGATCTATGCCTGTTAAATACTAATCTTGAATGCCTTATTATATTTACCACTAATTAATTATAGTCAATAAGGAAGTTAGGTCTAATGATTTGTAAAGTTGATTAATGTTCATTTATAAGCTGAATTAGAATGTTAAATGTCATCTTAGGCTTCCCCTATAAAACCAACACCTTCTTCATTATCTTTCTTCAAAAATCTCTCTCCAACCTCTCTCTGTCTCTCTATCAACCCTTCTCCCTTATTCTCTCTCTAGATTTCAGCAGAAAATAAAAGAATTTTGTTAATAAAAATGGAAAAAAAATCGATGAGTTCTTCGCCGGACGTCGAAGTTAGAAAAGGGCCGTGGACAATGGAAGAAGACTTGATTCTTATAAACTATATCGCAAATCATGGTGAAGGGGTTTGGAACTCTCTTGCTAGATCTGCAGGTAATTTTTAAAGTTATAATTTTAGTGATTTTAAATTAATCTGATGTTTTAATTATTACTAAACCTTAGTTTTTTATATGCTAATTACTTGTTTAATTAGGTCTTAAAAGAACTGGAAAAAGCTGTCGACTTAGATGGTTGAACTATCTCCGACCTGATGTAAGGAGGGGTAATATTACACCCGAAGAACAACTTCTGATCATGGAGCTTCATGCTAAATGGGGGAACAGGTAATTTTCGTCCATTTAATTTAATTAAAAAATACCTTTTTATTATCTAGCTAAGATAATTACGGATTTTTTGTTGGTTTATCTCTACGTATTCACTCGTATTGCTCTTGTTCCTTATTTGTCCAACTTAGAGTAATCCTTTAATTAGGGTTCGCAGACATTGCAATATTAATTCTAGGTTTTTTCAAGTCTACAACTAATTTTTCCTTGTTTTTTCTCTGGTTTTAGTTTTTTATTCTACTTTCTAGGTGTAATCCACTTTTCACCAATGAGTTTTTATTTTCCTCTTGTGACGAAAACGCAAAAAAAAAAAAAAAAAAAAAAATGTATGTTCATAGTTATAATCATGAGAATTTTTTATTTTTTTTTTCTGAAATAGAGTCATGAGAAATATTTAATTAAGCCAATCTAGAATTAAGTTTAATCAAGTAATTAAAGTTTGGACTTAGAAAAAGATTCTTTTATGAACACCATAAAGCAAAATAGTAATAATAGGTTTTGTAGATTGCATATGAACAGCTTCGGATCCAAATTGAAAACTCATAAAAAGATCAAATAGACAAATAAAGAAATCCCATTTTTGGAAGTAACCCTTTTTAATCCATCACGTGTTTGAATTTCAACGATCTCACTTTAAAATTACGTTACAAATTGAAAGATTCCATATTTCTTTTGGCTCAACAATACAATGTGATCGTCCTTCAACTTTAACTTTTAGGGCTCCATGATGCGTCGTTGTGCACTGATTATAATTGATCTTTTGTATGGTCACGAACAATTTTTTTTTTTTTTTTTTTTTTTTTTTTTTTTTTTTTTTTTTCTGATATTAGGTATATTAGAAAAAAAATAATGTTCATTCGAATTTTATTTTGAAATAGTGATTGATCTTAAAATTCTTTCTAGTAGAATTGAAATACTGACTTATAAATTGTAACTTTGGATATAGTATCGTAAAAAACAAGTTTACCCACAAGTGAAACAGTTTACATGTACTAGTAAAAATAGCTTAGATGTAACATTTGTAGTGAAAATACTTAATTATAAAAAGTATATTACACAGAAGTTTATTTTCTTGAAAATACGTATCTTTTGTTTCTAAAACCATTTTTTTTTTTTTAATTTCTTTTACTTACCAAAAAAGATGTAGCTTTTTCTTCTCTAATCTCGATCGCATCGATGCTCTTGTCGAATGAATCTTCGTGCCATCGTCAAAACGAATCTTGAGTTATGAACTTTAGCAAAGAATTTTAAAAGATTAAAAAAAAAAAAAATTAGAAATGCTACCTTTTTTTGAAGTCCTCCCCACATTTATGAGATAAAATTCGAGTCGAGTCTCCTTTAAATATATATCGATTCAAGATAAAGTGATATTGGCCATTCAAAACGTGGAACATGATCACTTTTAATTTCCATCGTGGAACATGTTTCATGTTTGGTTGTATATGAGTCTTCATTATCAAATGTACATCCTATCATCTTTTGTGGGGCATCATACCTGTCTCGGTTTTTAGAAAAGTAAACCATATTTACATAAACAAATAAGTTTTTAGTACATTTTAATAAACTTAGTCAAATATAATACACATACACACGTATTTACCTAGATACATATCGTTAGACAAATTAACATAATACGTTTTTTTTTACTTGTTTTTGCAAGTAAGTAACCTTTAAAACAATAATGGTTTGTAGATGGTCAAAAATAGCAAAACATTTGCCTGGAAGAACCGATAACGAGATAAAGAATTACTGGAGGACAAGGATTCAAAAGCATATCAAGCAAGCGGAAAACTTTAGTGGGCAAACTTCTTCAGGACATACGGATCAAGCAACCACAAGCTCAACACAAACATGCAATGCAGTAAATCCGATGGAAACGTATTCCCCACCCTACGACAATTTTCAGAATTTTTCAGGTCCATTTCCCACCGAAACAAATGAGAACATGTGGAGTATGGAGGATTTATGGTCCATGCAGTTACTAAATAGCGACTAAACCGTTATACATTTAAAAAAAGAAAAAACATACCAGAGTCTTATAGATATATATAGTATACATTTATAAACATATGAGTCGAAAAAAAAGAGAGTAAAATCTTTGTTTGACTTGTGTCTTTGTTTATATATATGGTCAAACGAGAAACATAATCATCTTTATATGGTCTTCTGTTTACGGACTCATGTATCACTATAACAGAGTTATTGAAGTCATTACATTTGATTATACAATAAAACCACCGAATTAGTGTACACTTATATCATGGAAAATATTCGAAAATGATCTGTTGTTACAGTAGGGTTATTTCTTGTACATATTTTTAGTAGAAATAATTGACTATGTTTGTCTTAATTCTATATATATAGATCAATACCTAAACCGTAACTTCCAAATTATAATTCATACTAAAAATACCAACATATGATTTCCTCTAATCTTTATGATTTGATTGGTGGAAAAGTACATGATTCTTAGTAAAATCGTTCTCATCACATAACCATTTTTGTTTGTTTAGTCATCTAAACTAAGAAGTTATATATTATGGATTTTTGTTAACTATTTAATTATTTTCTTTTAGTATTATCTGTTTTTAGTGATAGTTTCTATGTTTGTTTAAACATACAAAGTTAAGAAGGCTTAAATAGGATCAATGTTAAACATACAAATCAGTATTTGTTTTTTTCCTTCATTTTAGAAAAGTTTATTATTGCTAATCTTGGGTTGGCATCTACTTTACTAAACGACAAGTGAAGCTAAAGGAAAACAAATGCCAAACTGAACCAATAACAAAATGACACGCGGAAAGATGTGGAATGATCTTGAAAGCTATTTTGGGAAAGTTCAATCTTTGCTTTCTATTTTTATCCAAACTAATGCACGAGTTTTAGACTGTTGAAGGGCGACGTAAGCCTAACTTTTTCAACCTATTCAAGGAAAGTCCTCACATGCACTGATACCATTTTCTTCCCATGCCCTCAAAAGATTTAGTATTTACTATTGTTTAATCTAATATTGTCATATAATAAATCCATAAAAGACAAACTGTCCATAGGAATAATGTATACTTGTAATGCCCTCAAAAGATCTAGTATCTACTACTGTCTAATCTAATATTGTCATATATTAAGTCAAATAAAAGACAAAGTGTTCATAGAAGTAATAGATATTGGTAATGCGTTTTTAATATTTTCATTTTGAATATATATCGATTTGATAAATCAAAGTATTATATCAATTGGAAGTACGTACAATCAAATGGTGGACCAATGAGCATCAAATGGTGGACCAATGACTAGTGGCGGAACTAGAAATTTTTATATGGGATACAAACATTATCAATAAATATTCCATGTTGTTATCATATTCGTGACATTAAAAAACATCATATAATTTCTTTAGCAGGGGTACAATAACATATACCATGTTTACAAATAATTTATTTTATATTCATAATTCAATTTTTTTGGGGGTGCTCAAGTACCCCCAATGCTCCACTTGGCTCCGCCACTACCTTGGCTCCGCCACTACCAGCGAGTCAATCGAGTTGGTTCCATCAACCATATACAAAGAGGAGTTGTAGCTGACAAAATATGTGATCGTTAAGTCAATCCTGATATCTTAGTGATTATGATTGACTTTATTTTAGATAAGAGTCGGTTTCCTTAGTTTCCTTATCTATAGGAAGACTCCATAATTCTTAGAGATTGCATTTTAATTAGCTAGACCTAGTGTATAAGTTGAGATAAAGATTATATTTTGTAAATCCTTTAGTGAACTGGGTAATTTTATTTTCATTTGAGAAAAGTAATAAGAGTACTCTAGATCGAAACAAGTTTTCGATTTATTCTCTTTATCTTTGTAGATTTTTATTATTTGATTTGATTTTTTCGATTAAACATCATCCATGGGACATACAAGTGGTACTTTAGAGCTTTTCAAGAGGTATGTTTGTGATTCAATAGTGATGTCTTTCAGTTTTTCAAAACTATCATCTTAAGCTTCAGGTCACTCTTAGTGAAAAAATGTCATCTAGTTGACAAAAAACAAATTTACCATGCGGCTTATCAAGAGAGTGATTGTTAGGTTCGGAAGTTGTGTCAATGTCATAGTGTTCTGAATTGTTATAGTCTTTGTTTTATTTTCGAATTTAGATGTTGTTTTTGGAATTTATGTATGCTTTAAAGTTACTCTTTCCACGCCATATATATAGAGTACTTGTTAGTAGAATATGTACGTTCTTCTCAGGAGCATTTACATAAAAGTTCTGAACTCTTTGTAATGAGTTGTTCCACAATGCTTATTAATAAAATCTGATCTTATTTACTCGTTGTTGTTCAAATCTTTTAATTCAGTTCTTTTGATAACATTTTCGTTATAGAATCTTACGCTTCTAAAATTCTATCAAGTGGTATCAAAGCGGGTGATCGTGTGAACTTTTTTCAAATACTTTCAAGTTACGTGTTCTTCATTTTCTCAGATTTACTTTTAACTCTAGATCGATTCTGTAATTTGCAACTTCTGGTTTGCAAATTGATATTAGATTCTAAACTTAAATCTCTTGTTTTCTCATTGTTGCTCGATTTAAGTTTACACATCAGATTCTATAATATTTTCTTATTAAAAATGTCAAAAGAAGATTCACATTCATTTATTTTCAATCTTTCAAGTATTATTGGTTCAATCACAAGAATTTCTATTCTTTTTCTAGAAGATTATGAAGTATCGGCTCTTCAATTTGAACATTATATATTAGGAATTAAAATACATGGATCTAGTATTTGGCACGCAATCACAAAACAAACATACAAATATTCCGAAACAAAATTTGAAATCAAAAGTCTAGCAGATTACAATGCTCTTATTGAAGAAGAAAATGTTCTAAATGATGAAAATGAAAAATTGATTTGCAATCTGAAGGCTATGAGAATCATTCGATTCGCTCTTCCTCTAGATACATTTAGTTTGGTTAATTTGTATGACACGGCAAGGAAAATTTAGGATTCATGAACAATTTAAAAGTTACTCTTTGGCAAAACTAATTGGAATTCTAAAGTCTCACGAAGAAGAAGTCATTACAGAAGCAAAACTCACTTATGATGTGGGTTCATTGGCATTGATTACTAAAAGAGGAAAACAAAAGAAGTCGAAGGTAGTAATTGAAGAATCTGATTAAGACATTTCTGATGATGAACTTTCAAAGGAAGATAAGGTATTAATGGTGACGAATCTAAAGAAATTTTTCAAGAAAAAATTCTTATATTTCAAAAACAACAATCAAAACAGAGGAGATTTAGGAGGAAACAATTACAAACAAAGGAATTCAAGTTCAAAAAAGCCTAAAGAGGAACGTTATAAAAATTCTCAAAAGGATGAGGAGAAGAATGAGAAGAAGTTGCTTGGAGATTTCATTTATGATTGTAACTATTGTCATGGTAAAAATCACTTAGAAAAAGAGTATATGTTGCGAAAGATGAATGAGAAGAAGGTGAAAAATAAGGATGGAGAGTATTATGTGCAAAAGATTAAGAAACTCCAAAAGAAGGTTGTAGCAAAGCCAGTTCTAATGGTATAAGAAGATAGTGATAAAGGGAAGATTGAAGTTTGGTCCACAAATTTCGAATATGAGGAAGTTAGGAGCTCTATTCATGAAGAATGTTTTGTTGCTAAATCAGAAGAGAAAAGAAATGAAGGAAGGTGTCTAATGGTGTAAGGTAATTGTTCGGAAGAGACATGCTATTTAACTGATGGAAAGAAGGCTTCTGAAGACAGAAAGATTTCTGATAATTACTTTACTGCGAAATCAATCAAAGAGCAGGTAGCTAAGTGTGAGAAGGTTGTTGACAATATACATTATATCCTTCAATTATTAATATTCCTATCTCTCGTTATCATAATGAATTGAATGAAAAAGATTCCAAGTGACACTTCAACAGAAAATGATGAGAAGTCGAAAAGAAAAGATAAAACAAACAACCAATGTTCAGAAGTCGATCGAGGAAATAATTGCAAAGAAGAAATAAATAAATGCTTAGTATAAAAAGTATTTGATTAAAAGGAAACAATTTTGGAATAATAAGGAAAATCCTAATAATAATAAGAAAGTTGATGTTTATTCTCAAAAGGAAAATCTGAATTTTTCTAATTCATCAAAATCCTTTAAACAAAAGATTGACTTATCTCATTTTCAAAAGTAAAACTCAAACTTTTCACCAAAATTCATTTTATTCCTAGAGTGAGAAAAGACAAAAGATATCAAAATTTCAAATAAGAATGTTTCTGATCAAAATCTAACTCTTAAAAGGTTTGAAGCAAAAATCAAAAACAAAGAAAAGAGCTTTTCAAGAAGGATGGCTGCAAAATTCAAAGAGTACATTCAAAGAAATTCTTCTTTTGTTGAAGTAAATCTTCGTGATAAATGAATGAAAGTTTAAAAATTTGTAAAAGGGATGAATAATTCTTTGATTAAGAGATTATTTTAGATTGACAAAACTAAGGTTTTTCTTGTTTACTTTTCGAAATTGAAAATCTCACATGGGCCCAAGATGGCTTGGATTCCTAAATCTACTTAATTTTTGTAGGTTATGCATTAAGTGCAGTTTGATTGAGAATGATATATTGGCAATGGTTATTCTTGTCACATGACTAGAAGGAAGTCGGAATTAAGAAAGTATCCAATTTTAATTAAGAAATAGAGGAAAGTAAAATATGGGAATAATGCAACAGGTGAAAGTAAATATGGAATGATTTCAAATGGCGAATTCACAATTTAGAAAGTAGCTTATGTTGTAGGCTTGCAACATAATTTTACAAGTGTTTCTCAATTGGTTGTAGGTATATGTATCAAAGTATCTTTTGATGAAGAAGGTTTAGAAATCATTTAAAAGAAACTAATATTGTTCTTCTAAAATCAAATAGAAAATGAAAAATGCATCAGCTCAATTTAAAACAAATTAAAAGCAAACCATCTATATGTCTGCTTGTGAAAGCTTCTTCGTATGATAGTTGGTTGTGGCACAGAAGACTTTCATATCTTATCCTCAAAGATATCAACAAGCTTGTTATTGGTGATCTTGTTCGAGCTCTTCCACATTTGCAGTTTGAAAAAGATAATTTATGTGCAGCTTGTGAGTTGGGTAAACAAAGTCAAAAGAGTCATTATTTCATAATGAATACCAATATAATCAAACAACTAGAATTAATGCATATTGATATTTGTGGATAATCTTCAATTGAAGGTATTGGTAGTAACAAATACATTTTGGTTATTATTGAGGATTTTTCACGATTTACGTGGGTATTTTTTCTTAAAAATAAATATGATGCGACTCAGAAACTAATTTATTTCATCAACATGTTGTACTTCAATTACGAAAACCAGTTCAGAAACAAGAAGTGATAATGCTTCGAAATTCAAGAATCAAGTTTTTTAAGAGTTTTTAATAAAAAAAGGCTTTGTTCATAATTTTTCCTCAACATACACGCCTCAATAGAATGGAGATGTAGAAAGAAGAAA